TGGGTGGTCCTTGCTAATGAGTAGAAGTCTCACTTTAATAAATTATAAGTCTTCCCTATGCCGCTGTAACAGTCCTCTGAGAGAATGGTCTGGAATGATGGAGCACTAGAACCTAGTTTAAACACAGCTTCAACTATAGCATTGACTTTAGACAAGTTTCTTCAACTTTGTTTTCATCTCTAAAATGAAGATATCTTCTCCACACTGTATTGCTGATGGGGGCATTAAAGAGCAATGAACATTAACCTTTATTACACAGGTGTGGCATGCCAGTTGGCCACAGGAGTCTCTCTAAGATACTGAGTTAGCGCTTAGCTCACACAGTGTTTATAAAAGTGTCTGCGCTTATATGTGCATCTCCATTGCCGTTCATCTCAGTCTCACAGCAACACCTTATAGCAAGGAGTGCTCCTGTTGCTGATTTGTACATAGGAACCTGACGCACAGAAAGATGAAGTAACTCTCTTCCCTGGCATTTTTCTGTCTGGAGGTGATCAAAGGGATTTTGTATTTAGGCTCCATAGCAGGCAGTATTAGCTAATCGTAAAGAGTTGTGATCTGGTTTTACATCTGCCTGTGTCAGAGGGTTCGTGGCTAAGACAGGCATGATAGTGTAACCCAAATGAAAACTAAGGCTCCTGTGATGAGCCGGTGACAGGGCCAGGTGTGTGGAAAGTGGGGCTCTCTTAGCTTTTACTAAATCCACAGTCTGCAGGTGCCATCTGGCACTCAGTACAGTGGCTGGCACAGTGTGGGTCACCTTACTAAATCTCTGCTGTCATTATTCTCATTTCACCGCTACTATATGCACTGTAGTCAGAATTGGAACCAAAGGTTTTCAGGACTCTGTTACTGACAGTGATTTGTATCACATCATCTCCTGTGGATGACCTGGGAGAAGTAGAAGGCCCAACCTTTTGGCCCTCTCCTATTTGACACATGGATAGCTGAGGCCTCTTGAGGTACAATGTGCTGTCCACTGTGGCATTGCTAAACTAAGTATGCAGGTGTGACTGCACCCAGCCTGAAGAATAGATGTCTTTATCTGGCATGAGCAAATAGTCCCAAACCAGCAGTCTTCCTTTGACAGACTATCAGAGATACCCCCAAGGTTTTAGGATGTTGAGACAGAGGCTGCTCTTGGGACCGCAGGGTTACATGAATATATGATACAGGGGAAAAGCCAAAGATCCCTGGGTTTTGAAATAGGCTGTGACCTTACCCAGCTGGGAACCTGGAGATGCCCTCCAGCTCTTGGGCTCAGCTCCTAGGTTGAAAAGCTGTTCTGTAAGAAGTGTTCAGTAGGCACTGTAGGTGATTCTGAGAGGAGAGAGCTGTGCTTCTAATGAGAATAAGCAATGGGAGTGATTCGTGGATGGGGATGGGGTGACAAGGCCAGCAGGACCAGGGGGACTGGGGGAGCCACCTGGGTTATAATGGGTTACCTTTTCCCGGCTTTCTGTACTATATGGAGCCTCTGAGGGTTAACCCTGTAGATGGGCATAGATAGAAGGTGTGTGAGGGGAGGCAGGGAGGTAGCAAGCCTGTTGGAATGTCCAGGAACAAAGGCCCTGTAGTCAGACGGCCAGGGTTCAGGACTGCTTTGCTATTTTCCTTCCTCTGCAATGTCAGAAATCACATAAGAGTACCACGACAATTCACTAAGCTTAGAGGGAAAATGCTATTTGGGTGTATTATTTGAAAATTGCATGTGGCATTTTAATAAACCAGATGGGAAGAACTGTGGGAGCCAGAATGTGCAGGAGACCAAAGACTGAAGAGGAGCTGTGATTCAGACAGATTTATTTTTGAGCTGCTGGAAATCTAAGTAATGTCAGATTTCTTCTGCTTTGGGCTCAGAAAGTGTTCAGAACAGCAAGCAGCAGGCACGTGTCCCGGACAGTGACAGTGTTTCAGAGAACATTCAGCTTTTTGGGGGGTGGGGGATCACTGAAC